CACTGTTTGTCTCTCACCTAGGGCCCCCATATCCTGCACTGGGCCCACCCTGCAGCAGAAGCTACGCAGCCACCCTTCTAGCTGTTCTATAGAGGGGGCCCCCATGTCATGGGGGGCCCCACCCCAACCCCCTCCTCCTACTGCTGCTGCTGCTGCTGCTGCTGCTGCTGCATCATCATGCAACCAAGGACGCTGCTGCCCACCCCCCATAGGGTCTCCTTGGGGGGCCCCCCATGGGGCCCCTCCTCCTGTTGGTGATGCCCCATCATAATAAGGGGCCCCTGCTGCATCAGGGCCCCCATAGGGTTGCTGCTGCTGCTGCTGCTGCTGCTGCATTCTTGCTGCTGGTGGCGGCAGCATAATTTTAGATATATCGTGCCCCTGCTGCTGCAGGTCCTCAGCTAGAGAAGAGGGACAGATGAAGGGGGCCCCCTCTCTATATAAATCAGGGTACTCAACCCCCAGTATACGCTGCCAGATAAGAGCCAAAGCAACCAGGCGAGCAGCAGTGGGCCCCTCAACAGATATTATGCGGTGCTGTTCTCTCGGTGTCAGTGCCTTGCTGCTGCTGCTGCTGCTGCTGCTGCTGCTACCCTGCTGTTGCTGCTGCTCTCCCCATCCAAACGACCCCCCTTGACCCCCACCAGCACCACCACCGCCAGAGGGGCCCCCCTCGGGGGCCCCCCCAGTGGGGCCCCCAGAGGGGCCCCCAGTGGGGCCCCCGGGGGCCCCCAGGGTTTTAGAGATTTGTATGAGGGCCCCTGACTTTTGCTGCATTTCTCTGATTACTGTACCCTTGCTGCCTATAAGGGGACTAACAAAACGAAAGGGTATAAGGAGCCGGAGTGGTTGCTGCTGCTGCTGCTGCTGCTGCAGCTGCTGCAGTTTCTCCTGTAGAGGTAAACCTAACCTTAACACAGCACCACATACAGCCTGGAGGCCCCCAGATATCATACAAAACCTCTCCCCCCCCTCTGACCCATCAGAGGGGCCCCCAGAGGGGCCCCCACCTTGGGGGCCCCTCAATACACACCGAGCGTCTTCGCCTGTAAACCCAGACACCTCATCAAGCACCTGTATCTGGGCCCCTGTCTCCTCTCTTATGGCTCTTACGTGGGCCCCCTGGGGCCCCACCACCCACGCAGCCAGCCGCTGCGGTATAACAAAACACAATACAGAGGAACACCCGAGGCCCCCGCAGCTCTCTACACTAGCAACGAACCGGTACCCTATACACCCGGCCCCACCCCCCATACCCCCAGCCCCGGGGACACCCTGGGGCCCCGGGGGGCCCCCAGCACCTGAGGGGGCCCCCCAACCAGGGGCCCCCATACCCACACCGAAGAAACCCCCAGGTCCTGTTGGTGAGGCCCCACCCATAGGGAGAGGGGCCCCCTGAGGGGGGCCCCCCGGTAGGGCCCCCATGGGGCCCCTGGGGCCCCTGAGAGCCTTTGGTTGTGCTGTAGATGAGATGGTGATGAGATAGTCGAAGTCTTGTTTAATGAGTCTTCCTGCTGCTAGCATCTGCTGCAGCTGCTGCAGCAGCAGCTGCACTGCAGCAGCAACATGCTCATCCTGCCCCCCAGTAATACATAAAGCTCTATCACCACTAACAGCAGCAAACCCAGGAACAACACGTATCTGTGTCTGCGTCT